AGCTTCTTGTAGAAGTCCATTATATATATCTATGTTCCAAATCCCATCCTGTTTGGTTGAAAATCAAGGGAGTTACAGCTATTTAAAGTTTCAGCCAATCAGATTGCAGCAAACGTGCATGCACGTGTTTTTACGATAATTGCTATACATCTTATTGTAGGATATCTTAATGCATGGCTATGTTCAAAATTTCAAAGGATTTCGTCAAAAAGCAAGAAAGATATTGAGACTTTAGTTTCAGCCAATCAGAGCAAAGCGCACGTGCATGCGCGTGAGATCTTGCTATTTTCACCATGTCATCCTGTCTATACTACTAATATATCCTTATATTATGAGTTTCAAAGCATTTCATCAAAAAATTGAAAAATTAAGGCAATATAGATTATATTGGCCATTTAACGTGTTGCACGTGCGCGCTCTTGCAAGCACGTGCGCGCAAAATGACCTTTGTTTGGCAAATCTACACAACATGCCTACTGACCCTAAAAACATTTTACCTAAGTCAGATGTGTAGTTTACAAGATCACTCGTGGACAAAATTTTCCCAGGAAGAAGAAAAATAATAATAATAATAATAAGAAACAGAGTAAAAACAATATGTTCCCCAACTTCGTTTGGGGAACATAATAAGAATGTGATAAAATTACTTATTAATATCAGTTCTTGAAAAAACGGAAAATTAACATAGTTTAATTGTTTGGATAAAAGATTTGATTTTCATCATATTTACAACTCATACAAGCAACTGGACATCAACAGATAATGTAGTGTGTCATTAAATTCTGACCTTGTTCACATCTATTTCCTTTGTATCCAGGCCCACATTGAGGACATTGTCCTGACTCTATGTGACAATACTGGAGGCAGTGTGAAGAACATTGGTGAGAACAATCTGAACCATATCGTGTAGGATCGGAGCAACCTTAAGGTATGAAATCCACTTTTTATCTAATTTATCATGAATTCATCAGTCATCATTGGCGATGGTTCATTTTCTTAAAAAAAATTTTAAAATACGAGGGGTGTCCCAAAATTCCGTAGACAAGCGTTGTTTTGTAGGAACCCTATGTCATACATTAATGAAACTTCGTATATAGATTAAACCAACACTATCTAATAATTTTATGGACAAATATGGAGTAACTACACGAATTATTCCAATTTAAAAGATACATTTCATTGTCTGGTGTAGGAAGGCGGCGCAATACCCAAAAGTTGCAGTTAAAATTTAGTATATTATATTTAAAATCCTACAGAGAAGTAATTACTACCCCTTATTTTTTTCATGGATATAAAAATTCTTAATATTGGGTACTTAACTATATTTCCTCAAATTTTGGTGTTTATGCTTTGATAAATATGAGTTTTATAACGTTTTATATACATGGGGTTGAAATCCGAATTTGTGAAAAATGGCAGCTGCGTTGGCCCAGGCGGCGCACTGGACTATTATCAAGTATTTTGATCCTGAATTCACTCTTACGGAAATTTGCCAGTCATAAATGTTTGGTAGATTAGGAAACTTCTTCTCATCCTTAGTATTTAAAATGACTAAAACAGTTTCTCTATGTATATGTAAATAACAGTAATTAAAATAAATGACAGGGCTAAGAAATTGGCAAGAGATCCATTGTGCAACTCCATTAGAGAAAACAGACAAAAAGACCGTAGAAATAAAACGTTTTCAAATTATTATTATTTCATACCTGTACATGCATATATACTTTGTTTACATATTTTGAGAATTGATCATATCATGGTAATTAAGATATTTTACATCTATAACTATAACCGTTTCGTTTAATCTAAGAATTTGATTCAGGTAATTGAAATCTTTTCTCCAAAAATTTGAACCGTTGACATTTGTATTTTTTGACGTTGCAGATTACTCCGGGTGTAAGGGAACGATATCACTTTAAATGTTATTACTCGAAAAGTTTTCAAGTAGCCATGAAAAAACTCCGTATTTTATCTGCCAAGAACACGCTTTATACACCCTGAAAAAGATACATTAATTTCTTTAAAAGATATGAGCTCAGTCTACGAAATTTTGGGACAACCTTCGTATTTTATTTATTATCATCGAACAAAGCATTTTTTTCAATTTATAGACAAGGAAAAAAAAGAATATTAATAAAATATTTTTATTCCTTAAACTAGATAGTGAGAGACTGCTGAGTAAAATTTGTTTTTGTGTTGTTATTTTTTCTCTTAAAAATCCCAATTTGCTTGAAATCAACATATCAGCTTTGCATTTCATTATATTGGAAATTATGATAATAATAATAATTTAAATCTTACCAAATACCTCGACTTCACAAAGCTCAGTAAATGCATACTGGGAATATCCAGATGGATAGTTAAAGCCTTGAAGTCTCTCGTTATAGTAGATGACGTATTGTCCGTGTGTAGGACAGCTTATGTTAGCGACGGCGGGTATAGTGGCCCTGGTGTAGGTTGTATCGTGAAAACATAAATAACCATCAAGTCGGTTCGTTGTATTTGAAATATACACGTAAAATCCTAGAAATCTAGCTGTGTACCCATTTCCAGAATCTGAAATTTTATTTCTTTTTTATATTTTATTAGGCATAATGTTAGTTTTCTCTAACTATATAAAGTTAAGAACTATTTCCAATTGATGTGAATACATGTATTCATATTTTTTCTTAAAATTACAATTTCGTATCCTGTTGGAAAAGGTATAACATCATAAAATACTTTGCTTTTTAAGTTATTCCAAAGAAATTAAAGATCTTTTAACAAGTGGCTTCTTAATAACAATGCACTGCCATAGATATACTTTTCTTGACATTTTTTTTTGATCATTCAGCTGATGTTCGATGAAAAGTTCATTTACATTGTTTGTTAATCTTGCCAAAAAATGATATATTTAATGACATTTATGTTTCGAATTATCGTAATACATGGTGGAATTTTAATGACAGTCTTATACGTGGAAAATATTCTTATCTCAAGTAATAAACTGGCATATGCTCTTGGAATCTCACATCTAAAAAAAATCTCAACCAAAAAGACACTGAATTCTTAAATGGTATAAGTTGAGAGATAATTGCTAATATGTGAATCAAATGAATCAATTGAAAGACTGAAGTGCGTACGTACTCCACGCAAAGTTGTCTGTCCTGTAATAAATGGCGATGGAATTTATGCCTCGGATTCCTTCTAGGTTCACCCACCACGTGGCAGTGCTTTCCCCATCCCTAGAAACACTGCATTGTTTCCCTATGTAAGAGAAATCTGTTTTCAAACCATCAACAGCGTTTGTAGAATCACTGTATGCAGAGTCATGAGTTGAGCTTTGCCATGTAGGTTTTAGATATGCCAAATTTTCTTAAATAAAAAACAACAACATTTAAATATATTTACTAAACATACATTTTACTAAGTAAAATGTAAAATTAATGTATCGGAAATAGAAATAAAAAAGAAATGTACTTGGAATGATATAACTTAAGGGATGGTAGACCGTGTGTAGATGTATACATCGACCTTTTTTTTTTTACTTTCGCCATTCGGCACTGTAAGACTTTGTTTTGCTTTGATTAATAAAAAACAGTGAATTATGTGTATATTGATACGTGTTCTTTAAAGAACCTAAATTTGACATTAAAAAGTGTAAGCTTTTGAAAACTTTAGAATTTATTCGACACAGTGACGAAAACATGAGAAAACATTGAATGCTGCATCTGTGTGTAAATTTTACAAGTGGTATATTTCAAATAAGAGACTTCATATCAGGTAAAATTCAATCTCTGAGACAATTGGATTCCGTAAAAATCATGTCAAAAGTAAATAAAGTAATAAAATGAAAGAAGGAGATTTTTTTGGCATATGTAATGATGTACACATGTACAGGTAAGAATGTAGGACAAACTATTGTGTTTTATGAACAATTGTAAGCAAACGAAATTTCAGATGCTAATAAAAAGTAATATGCATCGACGAAATATATATTTTTACATATGAATATCAACAGATCTTGATTTTTGGCACTGTACTCAATCTTTTTGAACAATCTTCTTATTGACTTTAATGTTATGAAATACGAAAAGACGCAAAAACAATAATTACACTTATACAAAGATTTTATATCTTCCCTTTTTTTTATCTAAATGCAATGTTATATATTTGAATAAGGAAACATTTCAGACTACCTAGTTAATGTTTAATTTATATCATAAAATATTTTACGAGGAAATTATTTCACCAGCAGTGAATTCAAATGAGAAAGTTCCTTTTCAGTCTTTAAAAAAAATACAACATGATTCTAAATGTAATCTTGTTGGTTAAAGTTCAAGTTTGACGTCACTTATTTCTCTCAAACAATTAACCTTTTTGTATTTTTTAAATGTAAATATGTTTCATTTCTTTCATAGAATAACACTCTATTTTCTGTTTCATTATTTAAACTAGAGGTACTGTGAGCGATGAGCTCACTAAATGATACCCCCCGCCTCCCATATGGTTATAACTGGTGAAAAAGTCCATGTTTTGCTGTGGCCGGGAAACCCAAAATATGTGCCGGATCAAAAAGTAAAATAGGAGGTGCACAATGGCAATATGTAATAAAGATTCTGTGAAAGTTTCATCAAATTTCATTCAGTGGTATGAGAGGAGTTGCGGATAAGAGATGGGTACCCCAAAGCGTAACAGACGGACGGACGGACAGACGGACGGACAGACGGACGGACGGACAGACGTACAGACGGACGGAATTAACGATTACTATATACCCTCCCGCTTTTCAAGCGGGGGGTATAATAATTATGCATATCATAAAGCATACACAGATGCATATACTTAATCCAAGAAGTGTATTTACAGAAACATTAAAGGAAAAAAAGCAAAATAAAAAAAAAAAGATTATTTCTTTTGCATTTTTTTTTGAGTAATCTCTTTGTGATTACTTATTAATAGCCGTTTTTTATTTAAACACCTTGTATATTACCTTCATATTTTGATACATTATTTTATATTTCATTTATTTAAGCCTACCCTTTTTTAAACGTTAATGGTATTTAGGAGTCTCGACTGTGAAGTAATAAAAAGGAGTCAAATGTGATGTTATGAACGAAATCATGATAATAATGATCCGTTTTAATTTTGATTCAACATTTCAGTATTTGAGAAGTAAATGCACATGTAATTGTTTCTTTTTTGTTACGAATCATAAAAATAACCAACATTTGTCCCATTTCCACACATGACCGTTCATCGAGGAATATTTTGCAAGGTCTAATATTTTACATGTAAAGTGGCATAATGTAGTTTTTACCATTACATGACCCATATTTTTATATATATTAGAAAATATTTTCATAGATTTGTGTGGTTAACTTGGTTGCATTGCATATTTGTTAGAACCTCTGCTCGAGGGAGGCGAAATAAGGAGTTCAATATTTACGTTGAGGGTTCGAATCCTTCTGTGAGAGGTGGAGGCAGGTCATTCGGATGAGACCGTTCACACCTAGGTCCCATGTCGCTGTATGTGCTTGGACAAACAGAACCTCCCCTGCTAATATAGGACAACATTTGCAGTGCTGATGTCCCCATATGAGTGTGAAATTCTCGACACATTAAACAACATACATACAAACAAGCATCGATTTCTTGAAATACTTTACTTTAAATCACACAAATATTTCTTGCAGACTTTTGTATGTTGAGACGTTTCATTGTGTTAGATATATATACAGCTCAACGCACTTTCTAAGCTCACATGGTTTTTGGCACAAATTCAGGTCACATTCTTTTTGCAATAAAATGAACTTTATCGACCTTTAACACAAGACATAGCCCTAATACGTATTTCATATCTCATGTTAAAGGTACATATTCTTTATATTTATTATCTTAAAGTTTTAAAGTCGATGTTTTTAAACGGGATTTCATAATTAATTGATATGATATTACATTGTGTGATTTCACAATAACTTATGTATTTACAAATTAAAATAATCCAAATTTCTTTCATATTATTTAGTTGAAACTTTCAAGTTGACATCTTAAACCTGAGTATTTTTGGAGGTACTTTGCACATTTTCTATACTCGACGTGGTTTTGTCGAAATTAAGCACCGAAAAATGACAACGCTGCATAAAGAAATCATGCCAAAAGACAGGATAAAAAAGTATTGTTCATCTTTTAAAATACTAAATTGTTACCATTGAAAAGAAAATTGTTTTACATTTACGGTCTAAAACTTTAGAGTTTTGCGGTCGGATGTATCTTTCTTGATGCTAGATTCAGAAAGTAACCCTAAAATATGCTAGGATTTACAAGTAACGTGAAAAGCAGTCAAACAAATGAGAAATATTAATATCATCTTGCGCTTTATAGAGTCGTGTTATTGTAAACAAATACAAAAGTTCAATGATTTGCATTGTTTTTGAGTCACTGCAAGGCAAAGAACTGCTTTAAAAAGAACAAATCCAAAGACGGCTACATTTTACGAGAAACCACGAAAAACCATTTGGGAACTATTACAATCCATTAGCAAAAAGTATATCAAAATCCTACCAATAATTATGTGAACTATGTTTTAAGTTAGTTAAATAAACTTAAAGTAAGTTAGAAATCACTTTTAAAATATATACTGAAAGGAAAAAGAAACGCAGGGTAAACTTTTGAGGTGAGTTAAATTTGTTTTTCTTAAAATATGTTTTAATTTTCCTATCTAACTTTTAGAATCATCTTTCAAAAAGATATAACCAAATTCCTATTTGATTTTGTCGAATAATTCATGAGTTATTGAAGCTCAAATGACGATACCCCCCAAAAGTGAAAATCGAAAACTCTCATTATCTTCAATGTCTCTCTCGTACATCTGTCAAGGCCTAATTTCTCCTTTGCATGGAATTTCATTAGAGTGTTTATCATTCAAGCCCTGGCTTTATTTGGCATGGGTAACCATGCAAAAAAAAATAAGTCAAGCGGCGCGCGCATGCGCCAGTAAGAGGAATAAAACAGTAAGTTGACTGGCTTCAAAAAAATCAAATTGCGGAATTGTTTTCTTTCAAATTTCGTATGAATGTAATGATTATAATCGACTACTGTATAAATGGCTGTTTTTGTGGTAGTAAGGTGGCGATTTAAGAGATGGCAGGACGAATAACCCGCTCGTAACATGGCTCTGTTTCGCGTTAACGTCATCGTCACGGTTGATCGAAAACCCATTGAACTTCCGTAAACTGTGCCAAGATTGCAAAAATTCATAATGTCTCTTAATATTGAAAAAAGATGTGCATACCTCATATGCATCAAATAAAGCAAAAAGATATGTTGAAAAACTCGTCGTTATCAAATTGAACGTGTTTGGGCTTTTTAGCGTTTCCCCTACGTGACGTCATAAATTTTACGGTTGAGTAATTCTGTATACTGATTTTGGTGCACAGTAACTAAATTTCTTTTCTGACCAATTTTTGAATTTTTCGGTCATGTGGTCAATTTCTTTTTCGAACATTATGCTACCCTGCGTTTCTTTTTCCTTTCAGTATATTTTGTTGCCTCGTTACATTATTTCTCGTCATAACAATGTGACCTTAATTTGTGTGAGAAATCATGTGAGTTTAAATGGTGCGTTAAGCTGTATTTACATGTATCCACAGCATCAAGGTGTACCTACTTTAACTGCTGATATTGTCATGCATTGGTACATATCTTTGGAAAGTGAAAAGAATATAGAGATGCGACTAACAACAAGACACTGATGTCATAAATTACATTGATATTGAAATCAATTATTTTAATTTGCCTAGCTGTTTCATATTTTTCTTTTAAGTCTTTTGTTTTTGCTGACTTGATTATGATTGGTTACAGTTCCTGGCCAATGCATAGGACTCACGGTTGGGGAAACTGGTTAACAGAGGGTGTTTTCTCCCCCTTAGGTGTCTTATCTCTCATCTTGAATATATTTGTCTAATGCTTCCTTACGAAGTTGTATTTTCAAGTGTGGATTTAAAACTGTCTTTTATATTATAGAAATCCTAAGTTTGATATATTAAAGTTTTTTGTTAAAACCATTAGCCATACAAAGCGATTGCTGCAAAAATGTACTTAGATGAAAAGGAATAGTAGGGTACCTTCATATGCAAAAAAAAAAAAAAATTGAATACATGACAGAAAACTACGGAAATTGGTCAGATAAGAATCATGGAAATCCGTGTTCAGAATTATACAACAGTGAAGTGTATGACGTCATTTAGAGAGAGAGAGAGAGAGAGAGAGAGAGAGAGAGAGAGAGAGAGAGAGAGAGAGAGAGAGAGAGAGAGAGAGAGAGAGAAGGAGAGAGAGAGAGAGAGATAAACTAATGATACTAAAATAATAATAAAAAAAAACCAGTGCAACTTGATGACGACACGTTTATCAACTATCTTTATTTGATGCCCCTCTGAGATATATGCTAGTACATTGTGTTTTTCAGTGTAAACATACGATATGAATTCTTGGTCAATCTTGTAGTAGTTGATGTTGTTCCATTGGGACAGGCTTTTAAGTGAAAAGGCAACAACGTCTTAACCATTATCAGAGAAGACCTGGCATGGATTATAATCCAGCATATGGGTGATGTTGACGCGTAACACGTCAACACAAGGTTATTTTTCCTGCCACCTGAATAATCGCCACCTGTCTACCACAAAAATGATTTGAAAAAATTGGCTATCATAATCATTACATTCACCGTAAAACTGGAAGAAAAGCATGGCGCAATTTGTGTTGTTGAATTGATCAACTTTTGGGGTTGATTTTCTTTCCAAAGCACATGTGCTCATCGTTTACCTTTTTTTCTGGCGTTTTCTACCCTTGGCCCAGTGTTAACTGGGTTTGTCAAGACTTTATTGCAAACAGTCGCATTTACTAATGCAAGTGGTTTCTGTTGTCTTTATTTATTTTGTGAATATCTGCGGGACTGAGTGGAAAATAAGGTTCGAAATACCAAGGTTATATCTTTCATATAAGGTATTTTTAAAGAGATCATATAAATAATATCTCCCATTTGAAGGGTAAACACACTGATTATCAAATGCAAAGAAGAATCAAGGTTGTGAAAGATTCGCCAAAAGACATGAAATTTTCATGTTTCATGTTAATGATCAATATTGCTAAAAAATTAAGGACCCCCCCCCCCCACACTTTCCAATCGAAATAGCTGGTTATGTCCACTCCATCTACAGCCCGTTTTTATTGTACAAATCATATTTTATTAAATTAAGAAAATAAATAAGAATTAAAATTGAATGTTTTCTTACCGTATCCCTCAGAATGCACGAGAGCACACGAAAAGACACATAATATATGTGCATACATAGCTCTTCCAACTCCTGGCTGTTGTTTAGTGCGGACAAGGAAGATAAACTTAGAAGATTATGTCCCTACTGACTTACACTTATATACCTCAATCTAGTAGTTCAAAGTGTAAGTGGATCCAATTATTATTCTCATTCATTCTATTCATTTACTTATATATTGACAAATATAATTTTCATCAAATGTCCTTCTGCTGAGTTGGTATGTTTAGAAGCTTAACCTAAATAATTTTATGTTTTCATTATATATTTATAAATACTTCCATCATTCGGTGGAAAATAGAATAATAGTTAAATATCGTATTTTTTATTGAATATTTTTTGAGGATATTTCTTCATTACAGCGAGACTTTTTTTCTCCCCCTCTGCCAAGAGTTAAAAAATCTCCATAATGTCCGTTTGTATAATGCAATGGATTGAATGATTGATCTTTTACGTCCCATTCAAAAATGTTTAACTCATATAAAGACGTTACCATGAAGTGTGAAGTACTTCAAATTACCGCTCTTAGGCACTTAGCGCAATATTGAGAGGAGAGTGATATTAATCGTGCCAACACCTAACGTGATAAGGGCCTTGGTTTTTGAGGTCTCATGCTAAGGACCCCCAACTTTCATTTCAAAGTGTCGACCACATGGCGACATGAGCGACTTAGGTCAGTAGCAGTCTAGGTTCAAACTTATGATTTTCCGATCACGGAGCAAGCGTTCTACCGATCGTGCTACGGTGACAGTAACAAATAGAGAAAAAAAGTATATAACCCCTCATAACAAGATTTAAAACGGCGATTGTAATTTTGTTTTTAAATATGTTCATATTAATGTAAATTTTACATGCGTTTCATCTCTAAAGTTCTAACCACTGAGATTCCCATCGTTCAATTGTGAAACAAATTAAAGCGTATACCAGTGTGATAAAATTGGTTAAAACGTATCAGGAAAGTTAAGACATAATCTTTACATGTATCCTTGACGTTCTCACACATGATACTATGAATAATAAGATACAGATATTAATTGTTATATACACCTTTCAAACATCACTTGGTATTTGCGCCAATATGATAACAATATCTAATTACATGTTACATTGTAGTATACTTAAATAATGGAATTATCAAAATTAAAATTACATGTGTATATAAAAAAGAGGTTTTATAATTTACACATGACATAGTTTATGTGTATACATGTAGCACAAAAAAAAAAAAAATCATGATTTTCAGTTGGTTAAAATCTTTAAAAAACTTATTGTATTTTGTCCATATTCAATAGATAACATTAGTTATAAATATTCAATCATAAGTATACGTCAGGAGCCTAGCAACAGCCCCCACTTTTTCCCCAACCTTACTTATACTATAGGAAATTTTAATATAAAGCCTGGTTCCCCCCCCCCCCCCCCGCCCCACTTTTAGGAATGTACCGGAAATGTAGTATTAGAATTGGTACTGAAAGTAGCTGACACTGAGAAAAGTTTACCTACCCCCCCCCCCCCCCCCTCACGAAAGAGGATTTTCGACTTTGGGCAACTTTTCCCTTTTTTGTATTTGCTTGTCAACTTTTTCAGGTACATGTAAGTAAAAAAAAATTCTTTGCCTGCCCCCCCACCCACTTTCAAAAACGATACTACGCTCCTGTACGTAGATGTAGCTCCTTACTGTTTGTGTGAAATATGTTCAAAAATAATATTGTGGAGTCAGTTTTGATTTCATTTAGTATATTATGTACTTAAGTAGAGCAAATTCATTTAAAAGGTTCTCTCATGCTTGGCTATGAATGAGTATTCGTTATAAAATCACTCCTTTTGAGCACTTGCCGGTCATTCATAATATTTTAAAGTGTGTCACATTACTCCCTATCGCGCAGCCGACTGGATTATTGTTAAGTTTGTGTTAAACAAATGGAGTATTCTTGTGTTACCAAACAGTAGTTGTCAAACGTGAAGATTACTTGACTACATAATGCATGTAAGTAATAAAAGAAAGACGACAAAATTAAAAAAAGAAAAGTTAAACTTACTAGTATTCCATATTTATGGGTATTTTCCACACGAAATCTTGGTCTGTATATTAGTAAAAAAACCGTCTATCCTAAGCAAATTCAAAATAGAAAACGAACACCTCTTAAATATACAAATTCTCACAATTCTCAGAAAAGATCACATATCCATCTCATGTATTTGTCTGCGTTATATTCCTTTACGCACATTATATATAATTATTCGAACAGAATGCATTTCAATTATTTATACGAGGGTTGATCCAAAAGTAACGTCACTGTGTCAATATATTTAATATTTGACGTCTTATTATCAATTATTATATACCAAAAGATGCATAAAAATAAATTTAATCAAAGTTGAAATTTTCATTGAATAACCTTTAAAATATAAAATATAGGGGGTGTCGTCGCATCAGAAACTAACGTCACGTTTTAAAGTGTAAATTCTTAGAATGAGAAAAGACAAACACATTAAAAAGCATCTTAAAAAAATCTCTAATCGCCTAATATTTTTAACGACAAAATTTTTCGACAATTTCTAGTCTTAAGTTGAAAATAAAATGAGTCATTGCTTTTTGATCATAAACATTGTTGTTTTAATCTGCTGTATTAAACAAAGGAAATGTCGAAATGGAGAATATCCGCTGAAAAGAGCTGTAATGCATTTTTGCTACAAAATGGGGAAATCGCCCGTAGAAACAGCTACGATAATTGATCAGGCACACAGAGGAGATGATGCAAATAAGACACTTGTTTATAGATGGTTTCAGCTGTTTTTAGTGGGTCAAGGGTCACTGAATGATCAGCAAAGGACAGAAAGGTCGAAAAAGAGAGGTCGGGCGGAAACGTTCAGTGGTGTCTGACGTAGTCCAAAAAGAGATACGGTTAGACAGTTACAGCGATATGAGAAACTTTAAGCTTGTCTTATGGTACTAGTTAACGAATATTGACAGAGGACTAAATTATATGTAGAGTGAGTGTTCAATGGGTGCAAATAATACTTATAAAAAGAGAAATATATATGAATGTGTTCCTAAATCTCCAATATTTATTAATGAAACGAAGGGGGAAGAGTTCAAGAGTATGTCGGTGCGTATCCGTCATTTGACGTTATTTAGGTGCGGCGACTACCGTAATTGCACTTTGTATATAATTTGATATTTTGAAAAGTACGAATCAATTTAATTTGAATTTTTCAGGACTGATATGTAATAAATATAGCTTCAACCATGTATAGTTTTGTTGATTTACGTCGACTAGTAGCAATTTTATCGAAGTAGTGACATTACTTTTGGATCAACCCTCGTATTTTGGTTTATATTTTGTACACTTTCAATTTCAATCACTTTAATTAATTTATGGACGCATATCCTTAAAGTTCTGGACAAATAAGATTCTAATAATATATAGAAAAAAAATTAAATTGACATTTGGATTGAAGTATAACATTCCGTCAAGTTAAATAAATTTTGAAATGGGACTTTAAAATATCTATTCTCTCACTGATATAAAAAGTCAACTTTACAGTATGTTGGTTTTTTTTTTTTTATTTCATTATACATATAACTGTATTTCAGAACACGATGACACTCATTGCACTGTTATGTTCTGTTGGAGTCTTTGCAGATCTCCTTAAATTACTTCATATCTATAAATTTAAGATAATGCATAATTAATTTGAATATAAGCTTTTTGCAAATTTCTACCAGCATATAAATGATATTTTTTTCTTTACCTCACCCAAATCATTGCTGCAGCATAAATACAATTCAGAATGCATAATTGACTAACCAATCACGTTTTCCGTAATAAAGGGCTTCTATATTTCATCTGAAATATCAATTTGTTAGTTTACTAAAGGAATGAAGCAAACAATATTCAAATTTAAGGTCTTTTCTGTTATTCCTCTCTTCTATAGGTTGTCTGAAGCTAACTTGATTTCTCTACATTAAACCAAAATGATGAACTTTGATTAAAAAAGTCATAACTGTGTGTGCTTTTTGCTTTATGTGTCGGATTGATTGATTGTATATTTTTAACGGATATTCGATAATTTTTCACTCATATAGAGACGAGGTACACTACATACCGGTGAAGGGCTTACAATTTAGACTTAAAATCGGCACTCAGGGCCATTAAACAGTGAGGGTTCTTATCGTACCAACGCCTATCGCGAGGCAGGAACTAAGAAAGACTCCGGATATCCATTTCTGACGCCGAGTGCATGGCGAAGGAACAATCATTACAATGATATGCTTATGCATAAGGTTAGACGCGGCGCCCCGAACGAGAATCGAACTCGGGCCTCCCGAACACGATGATGTGTCATAAGGACTGTTACTTCTTTGATTTTGATCCGATATAAATAAGATGCCGAGTCCACAAGCAGATCTTTACTTCTGCGTCCGGAAAGTCTGAAGAGTCCGGATGGAGATACTGCTTTTTAACTGTATGTATTTAAGAAATAAACAACGTTATTTAGTGAACATGGCGTTATGAACAGCAATTGCTCTGCTGGCATATTCCATGATGCGCGCTAGCGCATCATGGAAAATATGCCAGCAGAGCTATTGCTATTCATTACGCCATGTTCACTAAATAATCGTTGTTTATTACTTATATTTGCATTCTTTGATGTTGACAAGAATATCAGAGGAAATCCTGACTTACATAAGGACGCAGCTTCTTCTGTCTTCAGTAAAGAAAACCATACGGCTTTAAAATCAATACACCTGATCAATACTCCTTTTCTCTAATAAATCACAATTTATAAAGTATTTCCCTCTCAAACACAGTTATCTGGATACAAGCAGCGCCGTCATCACATTCTCTTAATTTTTGTTTTGATGCAGTCGTGACGTCTTCGATCAACGTTATTGAAATCCTCTGACAAAAATCAATAATTTAAAACTATGACAAAAATGAGAATGCTCTTATTATGATTATTACTCCAGTATGCTTTTCTGTGATTTTTTGGGTACTTTTTCTATTTATTTTTTCTTGAAATAGATATAGATCTACTAGTTAAAGAAATTTTCTCTTTTTGAATGTTATTACCCAAGTTTGAAGAGTTATCGTTCTTTGTACAAGTATGCATGATACGAAGAAATAAAAATATGGAGTTCTATTCAATTTTTTAAAAGTTTTATTTTACAATTAAATACTTTGACCAAAATTAAATTTTTAAAGATATCAAACGGCAATTTCAAATTGTTCTGAATTCCCTTTTTTCCAAAATGTATTATTAAAAACTTATATTTAGTCCTTTTACGAAACATTTCATATATATACTTCTCAACACGGTGTATAAGTGTAGTAGAGCTTGTTCTACACGAGTGAGATAGAGCACTTGCAGTCAGAGTGGAAGCAGTTGCGTCTATAGTCCTATGAACGCAGTTGACGGCAACATGTTCATAGTGGGAGAGAGCAGTGGATATGCAAATATTTCTTTATATCTTCCTTTCAATCGATTTTTGACATATAAATCTTCAAACACACTCATCCCCTCCCCAAACCTCCAATCCTCCACAAATACCGTATGTGTTGCTTTTTCATCTCCTTCTCTCTCTCATTTACACATCTCTCTTTCAGATTCTATGACGAAAAACAAAACGAAAAAAAAAAATTCAGAAAATTCACATAGGCTGATTTGATCATTTTGCATTTCTCCATAATGTTGCGCACGGTTTTGGTACACATTGACGTTACGTCAAAATAACGTAAAAAGTAGTAACCTTGTTATAACGTTTTGAACCTAATACATCCATATTTTAAATCTTACATGTAAAATGGTTTTTTTTTCAAAAATGTAAAAAAAAATTAAAAAAGGCACATAATGTTCAATGTTTGAACCCTCTATTTGAAATATTTAGATGTTTATATATAAATCTTATTAATAAATTGTAAAATTTTATTTACTGAAATGTCAATGGTACTCTGTTAATATCCTTTCTTCTTCTTTCATTTTTTTTACTTTGTACTGTCTGTCTCATAAAGAGAAAACATATAAGTAGTTTTCCGTTCAACCCCCTTCAATTTTTTTCAGTTAGGTCATTACAAGTTTTCTATTTCTATATTGCATGCGCCTTAAGTGTATAGAGAAAAATTGAGAGTTATTTTCTTACTTCCTACGATTCAATGGATCTGTGTCATTCTGAATTAAAAAAAAAATATATGCTGAGTACACGTCAAAATATTTTGATTACGATTTTTGTGCTGATGTATCTTTGTGATGTGAATCGGTTCTTTTATGATAGGTAAGCGCTATCTAATCTTATCTGTCTTATATCAAATTGAAATTTTCTTGCTTTTGTCAGCCCAAGTAGTATGCTGCTGTTTAGACTAGTCTTGAATACTATGGAACATGAAAAAAAAAAATCAGCTTTAAGCTCAAGTATCAATTTAATAAATCGAGGGGGATAAAAAAGGAGGGATGGAGACGTTTCATCATTATTGAAAATCTCGTAATCACCAAATCTTTTGACTATTTTTTTTTTTGAAAAAAAGGGGGGGGGGGGGGTCTTATGATACTTACTTCGTTTAGTAGGGTATTTTTCTGTGGAACGATATCATTTTGGGGCTTTACTGATTTGTTCTATGGTACAAATGGTGATTATGTGAAATAGATATAATTTGTGAAAAAATTTCCAACGAGCTCTGGGGGTAAACATAATGGGTGAGGTTGGTTCCTGTCCACGAGCACCTGTACAACGGACCTGAACGAAAAAAATCCATGCACATGACGATAATAATTTGGCGCTCCCGACGTCATTTTACATACGTAGTGTGGAAAATGACGTTTATCGTACCTGTGACAAAATGGCTACACTTTTATTGATGCTTGCATTTATTTCATGTCGGCCATTACTGTAAAAATTATGTAATTAGTTAATGCAGCATTAAATGTTTAAGCTACAGTAATGATTGCTTTATATCTTACATTAACTTATATGATTTTGATATGTAACTGAGACATATTAAGTAACAATACAGTGACTCGTGTTTGCATAACAAATTGGCTACACTTAAGAAAGTCTTTCTAATATTTACGTTGGGAAAGTGATATAAAATGTATCAACTCAGTTTATCTTAGAAATATATGTACTTAAAGATTTTCCCTAAAAATTATATTTGTTTGGAATTTATGTCTGGTACACATCGTCAGTTCGGCTTATGTCAATGTAAGGAAACGATTTGAATATTTTATAATTTTTATTTTCGTGATTGGAATTATTGTCTCAAACCCTATATGTTTACAGTTTTTTTTTTAACAAGTGAAGAAACTCATTTCAAGGAATGCTGTTATTAACTATTAGTATATCTTCCATTGTTTTTGTGAATATATAGTAGTTTCCTTTTAAGATATTTTTTCTTTTATATATTAAGTAATGGTTGTAACGATTAAGTTGTGTCGTCTCAATAAGATTGTGAATATTTTACACATTCTTTGTATCATTGACATTGTCACGTTAAATGAGTCCCCATGAATATTTGAATTATGCATACTTTTTTGCAACAATAATAAAAATGAATTTCAAAAGAAATGCTAGCTGAAGGTTGAATGTATAGCAGATATAAAACATTTGTTCTGTTCTGCGAATTTGTTTTGTTTCACGTTTTTAAATACTTTTTGACAAGAACAGAAACACATAAACCGCTTTGTTGTTTTTAATGGACGAATGTTTTTGCATGTTTAAAATATGAAGATTAAACCCTTTGTTTGCCTTTCATTTATTGAAAGTACTTTATTACAAGAAAATAAAACATTCTTTAAATGTTTACTTAGTTATGTATTGTCATTGAAATCTAATCATTTGACCTTAACTAGTATAGAGTAATTATAAAATAAAATCAACAAATAGGACTGAAAAAAGAACATATGAATCAAAACTGCACATGCCAAATTTTCCTGTGGTATTGGTAGACAATTGATAAGGCATACTAATCCAGCATTTATTCTTTTGCAAATCATTTCTCATTTCAGTAAAATTCCTAAAGCTTAGTGTCGTTTTTAGTAGATAACTCTAATTTCAACGACGCGTTCTGATTCATGTGATGTAATTCTATTGGATGATCGTCCTTTTTGATCAAAGACACATCGTCCTTTTGAGGAATGGAAGAGTCGTCGACAACATAAGATGTGTCAGTCAATGTTCTAGAAATTTTCATCCTACACAAAACAAAACAAAAAAAAAAAAAACTTCTCTTTGAGAATGCCTAATTTTAAATTAATATATTCTATAATAGAAATGTTTAATTTAAAACTAATTTCTTACCTTTTCGTTATTTTGTAGAACACATAAATACCAATAACAAGAAGGGTGGCACAAAATGCGCTCAGAATACCATAAAACTTCATTTGGGAGACGTTTTCGCCGTCTTCGACTAAAAGGAAGATACAATTCGTAATCAAGTTTGTTGTTATGGTCGGGGTATATATAAACATTTTTTAAAATAAACTTACCAAGTAGACATTCGTTTCCCTGCACCCCAGCTTTGCAGCCATAATTACAGGCACCAGTCACGTGATTACAGTCACGTGATACTTTACAAAACGTACTACATGCACTTTTACAGTCAGGTCCAAAAAACCCAAAATCACAAACTACAAGAAAATCAATTCAAACACTGTATGATGTGGAGGAAATTTTTTTTTTTTTTGACATACTGCTCAGAAATATATCATTAAACTATAAAACAGTCTAGCGAGTCTTAAAAATATAATTTCAAAATTATTTACTTTTATCGCATTTATTTCCAAGATATCCAGAATCACAACCATTATTACAGGAACCAGTGACGTGATGACAAGTCTCGCCGTCCATACATTTACCACAGCTCTTACTACAGCCAGCCCCATACCAAGTCAATTCACAAACTATGGTATTATTCAAAAGTTACGTACATTTTCAAATAGTGAATTTGCCATTTTTACGACATTATACTTTTTTTTTTCACTTTTGCTACTACACAATTTGTATATTTGGTAAAGGTAAAATAAAAAAAAAAAATATGATAAACAAATCGGGTTTGTAAGTAATCACATTCAAACCCTAGTAAGTAAACATTTGTAAGTTAAAAAACCCATTACCCTCATGACAGAATTCTCCTTTCCAGCCAGGATGACAGATATTTCCACAGGAACCATTTGTTCTCTTACATTCTTGACATGTATCATTACACTTGTATACACATTTTTCTCCAAAAAATCCATCTGGGCATGCTTAAGAATATACATGTATGTATATTTAGTTCATACACATGTAAAAAAGGTAAATAAATGTATACCTGTAGGCGTCTACGAACACGGATACACCGCTTATGATCTGATAACTTCTAAGTTCATATTTTTGTTATCATAGATTAGAATATCATTTAACTTAGAACAGAAATAATTGAGACCGTCATTTTTTTATATATCATTGAATAATAAACTTTATATATAATTATAAAAATAATTTTTTTGATCTGTGGTGTTTTTTTGAATACGGTACTTGTGCTGCAGAACTGTCCTGTATATCCCCGAGAGCATCCATTCAAACACGTCCCATTAATTAGGCTACAATCCGCAGATTTCTTGCAGTATCCGCAAGCCTTGTTACAATTCTCGCCAAAGAATCCTTCATCACATTCTGAAACCAGGAAAACGTTCGTTTCATACACGTACACATACAAAAATATCCTTTATAGCTTGATCTTATTTCATTTTCAATATTGCAAAGATAAAGTTATCGAAAAAAAAAATTAAAATAGATAAATCAGTTTACTTTGATTCTAAATATAACATTAACACCTTGCAAATTGCATTCAAAAACATTCAGACAAATTTTTGTATCCAGTTTCACGCATTTAAATTCAAACACTGGGACGAATGCACAAAAGAGGATATTTTTTCATTGTTCATTCCAAAACATTGAAAACAAGAAAACAGGCAGAGTGGAATAGTTGTACAAAAAAAAAAGAAAAAAAAAAGGAGGCCCAGGAACAATATCGCTCACCTGAGCTTGGAAAAAGCACAAATCAGATCCGAATTGAAACGTTTACTGAGGGGGGGGGGGGCTTGAATTCTAATGCTACTTGCCTCTATATCACTCTGCATATATCTTCTTGAGAAATTTCTTAAGAAATAGACTTTTAAAGATTTTTAATTTTTTTTGTATGTATTACTTAACTAGTAATAATTTACATTGAATTTTACCCCCCCCACTATTTCCCTCACTACCCCCATTGTGACCCTTGCCTATCCCTGGAGATTATGATTTGAACAAACTAGAATCCATACAACCTGAGGATACTCCCATATAAATATCAGTTATCATTGCTTAGCAGTGCTTGAGAAGAATTTTTTTTAAAGTATCCCCATATAAAATTTTGATCGGCCATTGTGGCCCCACCCTACCCCCGGGGGTCATGATTTGAACAAACTTTAATGTACACTACCTGAAAATGATTTAACATGAGATTCATCTTTCCTGTCCCTATGGATCTTGAGAAGATTTTGAAAGATTTTTCCATTATATTCCTACAAAACCGACCGGAGACAACCTAACAGAAAGCGAACACTGAGCGGACCCTGGGTTCGCTCTCTGGGTCCGCTTCGCGTTCGCTCGGGGTCCGCTAGGGCGCATCCAAATCGAACCCGTAGTGGACCCCGAGCGAATCCAAAGCGGACCCAGAGAGCGAACCCAAAATTTAGTAGCGGTCCCAGACAGCGAACGCGCATTTGATATTTCTTTACAGAGTTGTCAATCAGGATTAGCAATTAGCCAATCAGAGCGTCAACCAATCAAAATAGCATATTGAATATTTACGTATTTGTTTTCTATAGTTTTTTTTTTTTTAAATAAATGTATTTAAAGTCCATTGGTAAATAAATTGGGTAAATACATCAGTCATAAAAAAGGAAACTAATAATTTGTATTACAATTTTTACTGACAGAAATTGGAGAGAAAAAAATGGTTGGCCATTGACAATGCAAGAAAGCAAAAGTGCAAGAATATTTACGTGCTTCTTATTCGATTATTTTATTTCCATTTTCTCAATTTACGTGTTCATTTAATTAGTTCAAAATTCAAATGAAAAATATTGATCTTCTTAATTAGGCATGAAAAAATTACATGTACATGTACATCTTGCTGTATATTTTTTTGAAAAAAAATAGTGCAGCAGGCTTATAGAAAACAATTTGAGTACAGGATTCGGAGAACGACTCATAGAAATTTAAGAAAAAGTCATCAGGCTTTACATTTAAAATCTAGTCTAATGTTGAGAGTTTACAATATCTCTCTCTCTCTCTCTCTCTCTCATTCTCTCTCTCTCTGTGTGTGTGTGTGTGAGGGTGTGTGTGTGTGTTCTTGATAATTCTTGTGTTTATTTAAGAAATAATTAACTAGTTTATAAACTTCAATAGGAATTGAAGTTGGTCGGTCACGTGATCAAATCCTGTGAAGGCTGAAGGCCTTCTCAGAAAATTTGATCACGTACCGACACACTTCAATTCCCATTGAAGTTTACAAACTTGTTATTTATTACTTATATATACATTTGAATTGGACAATTAAATGTTAAATTAAATATATTCGGATGTAAATATTGCACTAACCAATCACCGTAGATTTCCGTTAAAATAGTACGAAGGGTGTAAATCGGCTTGAAAGGCGGTTACGCTTCGAATTCGTCAGGCTAAGAATTTTATTTCGAAGGGAATATTTTGTTAAAGTCTACTTGTGATCAGTAATTGTGAATAGATTTCTGTCTGGGAATTTTTTTTGTGAAAAATGATCATTAAGGACAGATGATACAAACAAATTTTTTCTTTGAAAAAGATCAAATATCATGTCACAAGTTTAGAAAAGTGGATGGTTCTTAGAATTTTTTCTCAGAAGAACTGGAATATGAAAAAGACTTGGAAAATATTAGCAATATTTCAATGAAAAAACAAATATCGACAAATCACATTCAGTAAAGGTTTACAGGTGAAAATAAATTTCAGAATATGTTATCTTGGCGCTAAAAGTGTAATATAAACTTAAGAAAAATATACCGAGCCAGGTGAATTTTATTAGGAAAAGCTAAATGGTAAAAATCAGCCTATGTGATATTGCCAATTTTTTGTCATTTCGATCTTCCTCTTAAAATTCAACTGGCTTGGTATATTTTTCTAAGGTTAATATTACACTTTTAGCGCCAGGATAACATATTCTGAAATTTATTTTCACCTGTAAACCTTTACTGAATGTGATTTTCTATATTTGTTTTTTCATTGAAATATTACTAATATTTTCCAAATAAATTTCATATTCCAGTTCTTAGGAGAAAAAATTCTAAGAACCATCCACTTTTCTAAACTTGTGACATGATATTTAATCTTTTTCAAAGAAAAAAATTGTTTGTATCATCTGTCCTTAATGCTGAATAGACACAGGAAACACGTCCGAGAATTGAGGATAAAAAGTTGGAGGAATTTCGGTCGCCTGAAAGGAATACATGGATCCGATGGATTGAGACACTTGTCCGAGCCAGTTAACTTGCAATCAAGTATTAATTTTGATCAAAAACATTTAATCTACGATTTCAGTAACTATAGGTTTATTTATTGTGTTAACACGGAGACACTTTCTGGCGACAGTTTACATTGAAGTACGACAGCGCTGATCGAGGTGTTTCTCAGCTGTTCGTGGCGTGATTGCAATGCTTTGATATTTTCCAATAGATTTACATTTTTATCGTGAGTAGAACTTAGTGAAAAAAAAATAGTTTTAGCCTCTATCTCGAAGATTTAACTTAAGGTCTAACAAGAATAGGGATACACTAAAAAGTTAGAGACTGTGCTATTGACAAAAGTGACATACAACGTGTAAACAAAGTCTAGATTCTATCGGTATATTCTGTATGTACACAGGATAAATCGATCGCCAAAAATGTATGAAGTATTTGTTCACGTTGTAAATAAAACAATTATTTCAAATGTTTATTTTGTTCGTCTTTATGTATACATGAAAAGCAAGTCATTTTATTTTATATTTATAAGTAACGGTAGATATTATTCCGCCGTGTGATTTGGTCATGTATTGACCTTTGACCTCCGATAAGCTTCATACAGAATTGAAGATATTATCTCTCTGTATGTTTATATAATGGAAATATACCACAAATGTATACATTTAGATTTTTTAAAAGATAATTTTAAATTTCATTAGAGGGTGTGTGTGTGTGAAGTGGGGGGGGGGGGTATATTAATATATTTTTATCGGGTCGGGAGAACAATTATTTTTTGTCACTTTATTTTTTTTCATACTTGTTCCATAATTTTCAGCGTGATAAACTAAAAGATCTGATGTATATATATATATATATATATATATATATATATATATATATATATATATATATATATATATATATATATATATATATATATATATATAGAAAGTGTCCGGGAAATATTTATTACGGACTTTTAATGTGCAACTTTTATGAAAGAAATTTAAATATAGCACGTGTACAAAAGGTTAATTTATAGATGCAATCTAATAATACACGTGTTTGGCATACATTTAACCTACGATTTAGCAAAACTTAAGAATTAACAAATATGTTTTAAACTATAAAATATACATTTGTGGTATCTCTCTATTATATAAACAAACGGAGAACAAATATCTTCAATTCTGTATGAAGTTTGTCTGAGGTCAGACGTCAATATGTGACCTAATCACATGGCGCAATAATATCTACCGGTGCATAAATATATAAAATGACTTGCTCTCCTTGCATTTCATGTATAAAAATATGCAAGTAAAATAATAATTGTTTTATTTACAACGTTAACAAGTATTTTATACAGTTTTTTGGCTAACGATTTAATCTGTGTATACATGTAGAATATACCGATAGAAACTAGCTTTTGTTTACAAGCTTTATGTCATTTTTTTCAGCTGTACAGTCTCTAACGTTTATCCTTATTTTTGGTAGACTTTTGGTTAAATCTTCATGATAAACTATAATTTTTTCATCAAATTCTACTCACAATAAATGTGTAAATCTGTTGGAAAATATCAAAGCATTGCAATCACGCCACGAACAGCTCACAAACACTTCGGCGCTGTTGTAGTTCAATGCAAGTTTTCGCTGTGTCACCGTGTTTTGTTTACATCATGAATATGCCTTTAGTTATTGATGTCGTGGGTTAAATGTTTTTGATCTTAGATAATTGATTGCAAATTAACTGGCACTGCGCGGGTTTGTTAAGGCAGCACATGGATCAGAATTCGGCGAATTAACACTTTTTCATAATTATGCAACACTAATAAATCGGAAAAGTCAAGGATACAACTTTTACTATAATTGTGTATTCTATAGACTTCAATGGAACTTATACTACAGGAGGCTCTTCACCACGACGTCACCACGTAGAAAATATGCCTTAATGAAAAAGTGAAAAGTTTAACACTACCCCGGGGATAATTAGTTCCAATTTATGTCAGAAGTTATGTTAAAACATCTCTGTACCATGAAAAGTGCTGCTAGAATCCTACAGTCCTCTTAAAGAAATAATTATTCAACAATTTCGAACGAAACCTTCCTAAAATTTTTACATTTTGTTCATAACATTGAAAAAAATGCATCAATTCCCGTAAACATAACGATTCTAGCAGCACTTTCCAAAAACAAAAGAATAAGAACTTTAGATAGGAACAAAAATTAAGTTTCAAGGTATGCGGCGTAGTGTTGAACTTTTGCATCTTTTTTGTTACGAACGTCAGAGGAAAGGCTGATCGGCAAGTAAACACCCTCTCTGCTTTAATTTTACGAAGAAATTGCAGAATTATATTACCATACCTTATTCATACGCTGTATTCCAACAAGAATTACACATGATATTCATTCTAAATGCTTTTAAACTCCTCCGATTTCTTGTGTTTGTTTACATCAATTTTCGTTACTTTTCACTTTCACTCTGCTACTGCATGATCAACAGTTATGACGTCACGGGTTTGGTATGTAACCCCTGTGATAACTACAGAGGCCCAGGAACGACAAAATTCCGTTGATATTATTCCTCTGCATAATTTGGTTCATTTTTACGACCTCAAATCAATCTTAGATATCGATCATAAGACATTTTTATCTCTAAATCTCACGTCATATAGCTTATTATGACGTCATAGCATATAGGCAAGTAGAATATTTGGTTGTAACCTTAACCTACCTGCGTGTCAAGTGTTTCCATCCATCGGATCATCCATCCTTTTCTAGCGACCGAAATTCCTCCAATTTTTTATCATCGATTTTCAGACGTGTTTCTTGTGTCTTTTTAGCATCAATTATCAATTTTCACGAATAGAAATATTCCCAGACAGCAGTTTGTTCACTATTACTGATCACAAGTAGCCTTTAACAAAACATTCCCTTAGAAATAAAATCCTTAGCCTTCTGAATTCGAAGCGTAACCGCCATTCAAGCCTATTTACACCTTGCGTCATTTTTAAAAAATCTACGACGGACGGTTAGTGCAATAATTTATATTTGAAAGTATTTAATCGTCTATCTCAAATGTAGATATAAGTAATAGATAACAAGTTTATAAACTTCTATGGGAATTGAAGTGGGTCGGTACGTGATCAAATCTGAGAAGGCCTTCATAGGATTTGATCACGTGACCGACCCACTTTAATTCCCATTGAAGTTTATAAACTTGTTATTTATTTCTTAATTAACGCATAAATTTGAAAGGTTTTTTGTTCAGATGTTTTCGTCAGTTTAGCTTGTACACCATTCAATACATTGAAAATCAGTTCAACAGCTTTTCCTCCCTCTTTTGTTTTTGTTTTCACGTTATAACTAAAGAAAAATAAACGCGTGATAATCCGCTATTAAAATAACTTTGAATTTTTCGGGATCGAAATTTCGAGATCAGAGAATTCAAGGAAATCAATTATACATGTAAGTGTACGTCGTATGTACAGTTGATTTTGGAAAATTTATTAATGTTCTCTATAATGTCAGTGTTTACATGTACAGTGTACATGTATCGATCGCCGCATAAACAACAATGATCTATCCTAAATCCGATTACTGTATTAGAATATACCAGGAGCGGGGCTTACCGGCGGCGAGATTAAAGCGGGGTCCGCTTCACGAATCAATGCGTAAAGCTGTCCCAGAAAGTGAACGCCGGGTTCGCTCTGGCGGAGCTAGAGCTCGGCCGAGCGAACTCGGAGCGAACCCAAAGCGCACCCAGTGCGGTTTCAAAATTTCTGAAAGCAAACCCGAGGCGGACCCCGAGCAAACCCGGGAAGCGAACCCGGGGTCCGCTTCGGGTTCGCTCTGGTGTTAGGTTGTGTCCGGTCGGTACTGTATGTAAAACTCTGATCGGCCATTGTGACCCCACCTTTGCCCAAGGGGACATAATTTGAAAAAAAAAGCTAAAATCTACACTACGTGAAGATAATTTCACATGAGTTTCATCTTCCCTGGCCCAGTGGTTCATAAAGAGAAGATTTTTAAAAATGCCATTATTTTTTACTTATTCATAATTTTCTCCCCTTGGAAGAAGGCATTGGCCTCCATTTGAACAAACTTGAATCCCCATTACACAAGAATACTTTGTAGCAAATTAGGTTGAAACTGGTCCGGTGATTACTGAGAAGAAGATGAAAATATGAAAAGTTTACAAGGACGCCAATGACGCCGACAACAACGACGACAACGACGACGACAGACAATGGACAGATTTTGATCAGAAAAGCCCATTTGAGCATTCGGCTCAGGTGAGCTAAAAAGAAAGAAAATAAGGAGCAGTGATTGATTTCAAAAAAAGGCTCCAACATTGCAAAGTTCTGCGAGAATATTATGCGTATCACAAAATGTTTTATTCCTGATGATTCCATAATGATTAACATATCACTTACATAATTTTTTTAAAACCCAAACATTGAAATTCAGTTCATCAACGTAACTTTCAATTGCCATCAGTCTAGTTTTAAAAAAAGCTTATCGTACTTCAGGCCTGCTCTTGAGTACCGTATCTATTTTCGAGGCTAAATTATCATATGCAAATGAAAGCGCATAATTTCTACATAACTAAGGAATGTAGAAGATGAAAATGCTGAAGCCATCTTCTTTGCCATACAGTTACAAGTTGGCCTAGATTCTTATGAATCAGTTGCAGACACTCGCTCTAAAAGATGTTGATTAAAATTAAGGTTGAATTCTAAAAAGAAAAATGTTAGTTGTGAAAAATATAATTTGTTTTACCCTCATGACAGTACAATCCTTTCCAACCAGGGAGGCATCCATTCTCACAAACGCCATCTGTTCTGTTACATCCTTTACAGGTTTTGTTACATTTGAACACACAATTTTCTCCAAAGTATCCGTCTACGCAGGCTTCACAATAAGAGAAACGGAAATATCAATTTATCTTGTAATTGCAAAGCTTTGATTTCGAGATGTTGATGCATTTTTGATAAAATAAAATTTGTATGTACATGTGTACGTGTATAAAATGTAGCTAAATACTTTTATTGCAAAATTGTCCTTCATATCCAGCAGAACATCCACTCAAACACGTTCCGTTTATTGGGTGACAATTATTCAAATGATTACAGTTTCCACAATCCAGCTCACAATGCTCCCCAAAATATCCATGATCACATACTAAAAGTTGAATAGAATTTACATCTATTAGTGTGTGAGGGATAGTATAACACATTCAAATGTATGATGTTGAACTAATTTTCTCTTTCAGGAGGACTGATGTGTATTATTATTAAAGGTTTGGAAGATATTCATCTGCCTTATTAAGGGGAAACATTGATATCTAGTACCAAATTTAACTTAAAATATGTCAAATTGTATCTTCAAAGACATTAATGTATGAAAGTGTGACAAATTTTGACATATTTACAAGTAAGTTCAATTCACATTCAATTCAAATGATACGACTCAGCGTTGAGGTAATAGAGGTGCATATAAGCTTTGAGAATGTTTTATTTGAAATGCGTTTTTTTAAAAAAATGACTACGGAATGGTTGTAACGGTTTGTTAAAAACATAGATTTGAGTTACCACGTCTGTTTTTTTCCCGTTCAATCAACACCAAATATATAAAACTACTAAGTTTGATTCAGAAATTCGTGGAATTTCTTCATATTTTGTCTACGTTGTATTGTTAGGTGGAATTGGTTAAAAATAATAAATGAAAATATGGGCACTTGATGAGTGTTTTAACAAAAAAAATAATATCTCTGATACTAACTCTTCTATCAATAACTTTCAATTGCCAGCAGCCCAGTTTAAAAAAAAAAGCTTATCGTACTTCAGGCCTGCTCTTGAGTACCGTATCTACTTTGGAGGCTTAATCATCATATGCAAATGAAAGCGTATAATTGCTACATAACTTAGGAATGTAGAAGATGAAAATGCTGAAGCCATCTTCTTTGCCATACAGTTGCAAGTTGGCCTTGATTCTTATGAATCAGTTGTAAACACTCGCTCTTAAAGATGTTGACTAAAATTAAGGTTGAAATCTTAAAAAAAATGTTAGTTGTGAAAAGTTTAATTTGTTTTACCCTCATGACAGTACAATCCTTTCCAACCAGGGAGGCATCCATTGTCACAAGTCCCATCTGTTCTGTTACATCCTTTACAGCTACTGTTACATTTGAACATACAATTTTCTCCAAAGTATCCGTCTATGCATGCTTCATAATAAGAAAAACGGAAATATCAATTTATCTTGTAATTTCGAAGCTTTGTTTTCGAAATTTTGAAGCATTTTTGACAAAATTAGATTTGTATGTACATATTTATGTGTATGAAATGTAATTCAAATACTTTTATTGCAAAATTGTCCTTCATATCCAGCAGAACATCCACTCAAACACGTTCCGTTTATTGGGTGACAATCATTCAAATGATTACAGTTTCCACAATCCAGCTTACAATGCTCCCCAAAATACCCATGATCACATACTAAAAGTTGAGTATAATTTACGTCTATTAGTGTGTGAGGGATAGTATAACACATTCAAATATATGATGTTGAACTAATTTTCTCTCTCAGGAGGACTGATTTGTATTATTGTACTAGGTTTGGAAGATATCCATCTGCCTTATTAAGGGAAAAATATAGATATCTAGAACCAAATATAACTTAAAATATATTAAATTGTATTTTCAAAGACATTAATGTATGAAAGTGTAACAAATTTGGACATAATTACTAGTAAGTTCAATTTAAATGATATGACTCAACGTTGAGGCTGTAGAGGTGCATATAAGCTTTGACAATGTTTTGGTTGAAATGCCTTTTAAAAAAAATTGTCTACGGAATGGTTGTAACGGTTTGTTAAAAATATATATTTGCGTTACCACGTCTGTTTTTCCCATTCAATCATCAACAAATGAAATAATGAAACTATTATGTTTGATTCAGAAATTCGTGGAATTTCTTCATATTTTGTCTACATTGTATTTTTCAGTGGAATTGGTTAAAAATAACAAATGAAAATATTGGCACTTGATGAGTATTTTAAATAAACAAAACATTTTAAATATCTCTGATAGTAACTCTTCTATCAATAACTTTCAATTGCCAGCAGCCTAGGTTTAAAAAAAGCTTATCGTACTTCAGGCCTGCTCTTGAGTACCGTATCTAGTTTGGAGGCTTAATCCTCATATGCAAATGAAAGCGCATAATTGCTACATAACTTAGGAATGTAGAAGATGAAAATGCCGAAGGCATCTTCTTTGCCATACAGTTGCAAGTTGGCCTTGATTCTTATGAATCAGTTGTAAACACTCGCTCTAAAAGATGTTAACTAAAATTAAGGTTGGAATCTTAAAAAAAATGTTAGTTGTGAAAAATATAATTTGTTTTACCCTCATGACAGTACAATCCTTTCCAACCAGGGAGGCATCCATTGTCACAAGTCCCATCTGTTCTGTTACATCTTTTACAGGTTTTGTTACATTTGAACACACAATTTTCTCCAAAGTATCCGTCTATGCATGCTTCATAATAAGAAAAACGGAAATATCAATTTATCTTGTAATTGCAAAGCTTTATTTTCGAAATTTTTATACATTTTTGATAAAATAAGATTTGTTTGTACAAGTGTACGTGTATAAAATGTAATTAAAATACTTTTATTGCAAAATTGTCCTTCATATCCGGCAGAACATCCTCTCAAACACGTCCCGTTTATTGGGTGACAATCATTTAAATGATTACAGTTTCCACAATCCAGTTCGCAATGCTCCCCAAAAAATCCATGATCACATACTAAAAGTTAAATAGAATTTACATCTATTAGTGTGTGGGGGATAGTATAACACATTCAAATGTATGATGTTGAAGTAATTTCCTCTTTCAGGAGGACTGATTTGTATTATTATTAAAGGTTTGGAGGATATTCATCTGCCCTATTAAGGGGAAACATTGATATCTAGAACCAAATTTAACTTAAAATATATTAAATTGTATTTTTGCATCAATGTATGAAAGTGTAACAGATTTTGACATATTTACTAGTAAGTTAAATTCAAATATGACTCAACGTTGAGGTTATAGAGGTGCACATATGCTTTGACAATGTTTTAGTTGAAATGCCTTTTAAATAAAATCTGTCTACGATATGGTTGTAACGGTTTGTTAAAAATATGTATTTGCATTTCCACATCTGTTTTTCCCGTTGAATCATCACCAAATGAAATAATGAAAGTACTAGGTTTGATTCAGAAATTCTTGTACTTTCTTCATTTTTTGTCTATATTGTATTTTTAAGTAGAATTGGTTAAAAATAACGAATGAAAATCTAGGCACTTGATGAGTATTTTAAATAAAAAAATACATTTTAAATATCTCTAATAGTAACTCTATTGCAGTTGCCATTGAAACGGTTGTTTGGAAATGCGGATTAGACATGAATGCGTTAATTATCGTTTTATTGTTTCTTAATACGTTTAATATTTAGTTTATAATTTGATGATCGATTATTCATATTTAAGTTGTTAGACAACGTCAAATTTCGGTCAAGTCGTACGTTTTGTGAAAATCCTGGGATCATTTTATCTTAAACGCGTATATTAGGCTTGGGAAAATGCATTTAGTTACTAGTTTTCCAGTGGCATATCAAATGTAAGAAAAATGGAACTTCCATGGACTTTGATTAAAGGTGTGGTCACTTTTTGGGGGCACTGTTTTATGTGTTTATCCTCCAAGGCAAATTAAAAGTGTTAATGGCGTTGTCGGCTGCCGTTCTGTTCTTGACATTGCTACTGAAATTTGGACATCAAATGAAAGTATGGGTAGTATTTTGAAATACGAAGATACCCAGGATTTCCTTGAAAAAAAAAATGGAGAAAAGGACAGCATTTTGTAGATAAACGATATAATTTTAGAAAAAAAATCCACAATCTTTTAGATCAACCCTGGTATATTACAGATGATGAAAAATAAAATGGTGGGATATCAACACATACAGAGTACCTTCGTGGCAATAGTCCCCTTTCCATCCTGGATGACATCCAGTTTCACATTTACCATTTGTTCTTTTACATCCATAACATGTAGAATTACAGGTCTCCAGACAATTCTGTCCAAATGTTCCGATTCCGCAGGCTGTCAAGTAAAAGATATAAAACAAGATGTATCTCTCAAAAATGGATGTGGGGAATATTCGGAATCAAAAATTAATAATTGTTTTCAGAGATATATATTATATATAAATGTTTGTTTACTTTGGTAACAAAAAGTCCCTTCATATCCATCATAACAACCGTTCATACACGTCCCGTTAATATGGTTACATTGTTCTGATTTTAAACAGTGTCCACAAGGCATACTGCAGTAATTTCCGAAGAATCCGCTTCTGCATACTATAAAGAACAAGAGGCCCAAGGGCCACATCGCTCACCTGAGCACATCTAC